CACAGAAAAATTCACTGTACAGAGTCAATCACCAATCCATCAGTCCAGCAGGTAAAGCTGAGATTGCCACCACACAGAAAGCAARATTACCCAGTTCCACCCCTGGAGCTGCTTAATTTCCAGGAGYCATCCATGAAATGGTCAGTGTTAAAAACCCACTTGATCATTTTGGTGGCAGATATTCCTGAATTACTGTGKAAATTTAAATACCAATGCTTGGCTTGCTGAGCAGCACTGACAGCTCAGCTTGCCATGGACATAAAATAAAATAAATGCACTCAATAAACGGAGATTTTCATCAGCATAAATAAAATAAAAATGGAGTTTTCAGCTCAGAAGAGAGCAACTTTTCATACTGACTACAAGTGACAAGTGTTAAAAACACCCCCAAGCCAAAGCTGCTGGTGGAGTGTCCAYCCCTGGAGGAATCCAAGGAACAGATTCCACAGAATGAGGGGTTTCTCCTGGAAATGAAGCAGCTCCAGAGGTGGAACTCTGTAAAATTGTGCTTTTTGTGTGATGGCAATATTGGATTTRCCTGTTGGAATCTGTGATTGAGAGAATCTGGAGGTGGCACTCAGTGCTCGGTGACAAAGGCGGGCATTGGTCACAGCTTGGATGATCTTGGAAATCTTTTCCAACCTAAATAATTCTGGGATTGTGTGTGATTTAATAAGTAAGAAAGTTTTGCTGGAATTASGAATTAGTGGCAAACAGCAGAGGTGAACACACCACGCTTTCCCCACACTTCTCTTGGCTTTGAGGGGTTTCTTTGTCATTATTTACGACTTTTTTTTTATGCTTTCCTATTTAATATTTCACCCAAAGGGGAGGAAACCGCTCTCTTCAGCGCAGCAACATTTCAGTCACGTCCTTTCCTCCTCCCCAGCATTTCAGTGAAATATTCCCATGGCCACTTTTGGGGATCTCAGGGGCTGCACACAGCAAATGTGACAGCTCTGCTTGTACACAAAGATCCAGAGCTGCCACGCTGCTCCCTGGAAAAGCCCTCTGGGAGCCACAGGAGCMGTGTTTGAAGGCACAGCAAAGCTGAAAGCTCAGCAGAGAAACCCTTTTATCACTCAAACAGCACTAAAGGAGTTAAACCCCAATATTTGGGTACTCTGCTGCAGCAGGTGAGGTGTCCATCCTAAAATTTATTGAGCCTATAACTGAGAAGGGTTAAAACCACCCAGACCCCAAAGCTGATGGTGGAGTGGCTTTAGGGGTAAAGGTAACCTGTGTTTCATCCCCTATTAAAGGGAACCTGTATTTTATTCCCTTTTAAAGGCAATCTGTATTTTATTACAACTCTCCCCTATAGAAATGGGAGTTTTTCTGACATCCACAATTTCTATTTTAGCAACGAAGCAAAACAATGCCGGGTCTGCACATTTGCAAACTCTGAGAGATTAAATCCCAATATCCCAAGAACTCTGCTGCAGCAGGTGAAGTGTCCATCTTGAAGTTTGTTGCCTACAATTGAGAATTGTTAAAACCACCCAGAACCCAAAGCTGTTGGTGGAATGGCTTTAGGGATAAAGGTAACCTGTATTTCATTCCCTATTAAAGGGAACCTCTATTTTATCCCCTATTAAAAAAACCCTGTATTTTATCATAATTCCCCCCTATAGAAATGGAGTTCTTCTGACACCCACAATTTCTATTTTAGCAACACAATTCCAGATCTCCAAATTTGTAATCTCTGAAGATATTAAACCCCAATATCCTGGCAGCTCTGCTGCAGCAGATGAAGTGTCCCCCCTGAAATTCAAAAACTCCACTTAACCCCAGCCAGACTGGGAATTGTTAATTAATATTAAAGACTTGCAGGCCAAGTTCAGCTCRACACTAAGATTTGGTGCAGCTCCTAATAAAATACTACACACTCCAACATTTCCTGTTTGATAGCTGAGAAGTACGGAAAACTCTTCTTCATTAAATTTAAATGGGCTCATTAATAAAATATGGAGGATGTGCTACTTTAAGGCAGGAGGAGAGGGGGGCAAAAAAAAAAAAAGTATAAATTGGCGATAACGTTATTTCTATTTTTATATCCATCCCACGGAGTCACCCAAGATAGATGAGAAGTGCTAAGCCCATCCCACAAGCTTATTTATTTATTTATTTAATACTCCTTAYATGCTATTTTTACCAGCAAAAGGCATCCATTAGAAAAATTACACTGCTGAGAGTCTTCCTCAGCCAGGGTGAGACAAGTGACAGATCTGGCTGGAAGCAGCCTCAAAAAARATGGATTTGGTTTGTTTTTTTCCCCCCCTCCCTTTTCCTGTAGGATTCTGGAATTTTAAAAAAAAAGCGATTTTTATTTTTTGCAGCATCAGCTAAGGCTGAGTCKCTATCTGCAAAATCTCTATCTGTCAGTCCTTACTCACTCCCAGCCCCCTCTTCTCACTCCTCCACTTCCTKCAAGGTTTCATTTTCTCGGGAATACGTGGCTGGAGCACAGCACTGTCACCCTGCAGGGACAGCAAAATGTGGATGGAGGGCTTGGGGTGGGTTATTATTTTTAAGCCTYTGTTGTAAACACAGAAAATAAATGGAAGGGAAACCCCAGTCCATGGAACTGCAGCATTTTGCAGAAATCCTTTGGGAGGAGAAAAAAATGAGTGAAAAATAACTTTCATTTTTTTCAACAGACTTAAAGGAATTTATGAATTAAATGTTGGGTTTTCTTAGGAATAGTTTTTTTTGGTAAGCTACAAAGGATGTCCTTTGATTCTCATCATAAACACAGAGCTCTGAGTGTCACATCCAAGCCTTGGACACYTYCAGGGATGGAGATTCCAAACTTCCCTGGGCACTTCCAATGCCTGAGCACCCTTTCCATGGAGAAATTCCTGCTGATGTCCAACCTGAGCCTCCCCTGGCACAGCCTGAGGCTGTTCCCTTCTATCCTGCACTAAGCAGGACTCAAACCACTGAAAATGATGCCTTAGGATTTTTAGCTTCTACATTTTCATGCGTCTGTATTTTTGTAATTCTTCAGTGCACAGTGCTGTGCTCCTGTTCTCCCATTTTAGACAAAACAATTCCTCTCCAGGCCCCAAACTCAAGGGCACCTCACTGCTCAGTGCCCAAAAATATGGAAACAGCAGAGAATTGGGGGGAGCAGCTTGGGGTGGGTGCCATCATCACCTGAAGGTGGAATTGGAGAATTGGGGCCTGATATGTTAAAATACAGAACTTATAAAAGGTGAAGATCTCGTGATTTGGGGTCTATTTTGGGTGTAGCCTGAGGAGGAGGCTCTGTCTGCCCTCAATGTACCTGTAGGCCTGGATTAAATTTGTCTCCTTWATTCTGTTAACTTTGTCTGGTCTCTGTTTCAGGTTAGCCTTGCTTTAGGCATAAAAAAAAACCCCAAATTTAAAAGTTCAATTCCATCATTTTCCAAATCTGGGGGCCTTGAAACCACACATTCCACACCTTCTCTTCTCCTGGGACACTTGAGGGACTCCAGCTCTGAACCCAAAGCCAGGCTCAAACTTCCAGGCAGGATGAAACTGCTTCAAAGCCCCATTTACCCCAACCCTCCCTCCCAGTTCCAAGTTGTTGTGCCACTCTAAAAGAGGCAGCACAGACCTGGGTGTGCCAAGCACCTTCTCTGCACCATTTGAGATAAATTCAATGCCAGGAATTTATTGTTTCCCCTGAAGTGCTGCTCYTCTGTGCTGCTGCAGCATTTCAGCTCAATGCACAGCCCAGCACCGCCAAAACAGCTCATTAAGGGGRCTCATCAAATTCCTTAGATAAATAATAAATAATTAATTTAAATTATTAAATTATAAATAATAGATAAATAATCCCGTCTTGCTGCTCCTGGTTCCAATTTTCATTTATTACAAGAATTCTGTTTCCATAGTAAGGTCAAAAGCAGRCTCAGACCCTCATTTTAGTGTGGGAATCAGAGACATTACCACACTAAAATACAATCTTTTTTAGCTGCAGTCTGATGTGAGAGGGGCAGACCTGTAACCTGTATCTTATTACACCTTCCCCATATATAAATTGAGTTTTCMTGATGTCTGCAATTTATATTTTAGCAACGAAGCAAAACAAYGCAAGGTYTGCAAATCTCTGGGATATTAATTATTTCCATTTATCTGACTGGTGACTTAAAATTATCAGTAACTTTTTGCCCAGTCCCCTCTCACTGTATTTTTATTAGCAATATAGGGAAGTGATTAATTTCAGAATTAGGGAGTGAAGGTGAACATAGTTTAGAAAAAAAACCCACCCAGCAGAATTCAGCAGAGGAAAACAAAGGGGAAAGTACCCAAAATATATCCTTGCAGTTTATCTCACACAGGATCTAACAGCAGATTGCCAGCATCAAATTTTGGGGAAATTTTTTCAGAGCTTTCACAAGAGAAAGTTTAAAAAACCCCCAACAGTTCAAGTGCCAAAGRAACCCATAAAATGAGGAGGGAAAAATACTTCCTTACAAAGGGAAAAACGTGATGAAAATTGAGCCTTGGAGCATTCAGGTGTTTCAAGGGATTACAGAAAGTCCCAAGTACTGCCTTGAAATATCAGACTTCAACTGAGAACTCCCTATGGACCAGATCACCCATTCCAACTGAAAGAACTATTTAAAAAAAAAACAGATATTTTTTGGTCCCTCAACATATTAACAACATGTAGTGGTTTGAATGAATTCAATGGGAGCAAAATACTCCCAAGTTCCAGCTAAACTCCCCCCTCTCTTTTCCCCACCCGGGTCCTAGAGACAACCTTTTCCACAGAGAGGAAAGTGAAAAGGGGGAAAAAAACCCTATTTATTTAAAATTATAAAAACAAAAAGAAAAACCTGTGGAATCAGCTGTTAGATCAGACTGACACAACATTTYGCTTGGAATCCCCAAACAGGAAACCCTCCACGCCAAGCACTGATATTTCAAATCATCCCATCCACGTTTTAACCCATCTCCAAAGTTACAAACAGAAYTATTTTACCCTCCTGGTGGGCTGCACCTACCATGTGGTAGTGTTATGTTTGCACCATCGATGATGGCTTGTGCCAGTTCGTGGTCGTTGCTCTCGAAGGCGTGGGCGGCGGCTTTGAGCGCGTCCCAGATCTCTTTGCGCCCCTCGAAAGCCGGCGCCGTGTCCCARAACTCATCCCTCTTACTGCGCAGCTGCCCGTCCGTCATGGGGTAATCGCTCTTCCATTTGGGTTTCTCCTTCTTCAGGGGCTGGTTCCGGCCGAGAGCCACTGCGGGGGACAGAGAGCAAGGGGGATTAATCAAAAGAACCCCAYGAAATCAYTCTTTGGTTCTTCTGTTTAGGATCTAGAGAGAGGAACGGAGATTAATCAAAATAACCCCACWRAATCACCCTTTGGTTCTTCTGTTTAGGATCTACCAAGAGGAAGAGGGATTAATCAAAATAACCCCACAAAATCGCTCTTTGGTTCTTCTGTTTAGGATCTACAGAGCTGGAAAGGGGATTAATCAAAATATCCCCACTGAATCACCCTTTGGTTGCTCTGTGTAGGATCTACTGAGCTAGAGGGGGATTAATCAAAATAATCCCACAAAATCACCCTTTGGTTCTTCGGTTTAGGATCTACCAAGAGGAAGAGGGATTAATCAAAATAACCCCATTGAATCACCCTTTGGTTCTTCTGTTTAGGATGTACATTGTCATTTGGAAAAGGGAAGCCATTCCCTTTTCCTGTCACTCCATCCCTTGTAAAAAGTTTCTTTCCATCTTTCCTGCAGCTCCTTCAGGTCCTGGAAGGCCACAATGAGCTCACCCCAAAGCTTCTCTTCCCCAGGCTGAACAATCCCTGTTTTCCCAGGCTCTCCTTCCAGCAGAGCTGCTCCATCCCTCCGCTCTTGGTGGCCCCTCTGGAGGATCCATTTGCACAGAAWCAAAATCAGCTCCCAATTAAAAGCTGCAAATACCAATTGCACGGCCCACATCCCCCGACTCCAGCTGTTCTCCCACATGCCATGCCCAACCCAACAATAACAAACYGCCGAATCCTTTCAAGTGACCACAGACTTTTATTGCTTTTTRTTTCCGTGGGATGGCTTCCACGGGATCGCTTCCATGAGCTTTTCAAAGCGGTGCTGACCATTTCACAGATTTCGGAGCAGCAAAGCCCAGTGTTTACAAAACACTGCATTTCCTGGCAGAGCACGGCCGTTCCCTGTCCAAGGCTCAGCTGAGCACACGCAGCCTGGAGATGATGCTGGGACAGCCTGGAACAATGGGGAAGGAGGGAACCCTGCATGCATTGAACACTGAACATTATGGAATTGCAGAAACATATGTGGGCAAACGTTCCACCAAGGAATTGTTTCCTTATTAAGGCTTAGCAGGCAAAGCATGAAATTTTCAGACAGACAGACCAGGACACTGCAAGAAATTTGGGTCAGTGGGCAGCTTTTTTTTTTTTTTTTTTTTTCCATTCCACTTTAGCTCACATCTGTTTGCACGTATACACTCGATGAATGCTAATTCCTCCCCCCAGGCCCTCTCCTTGTCCCCAAACATTAATTATGGAAGCGGGTTAAAGGCGCTTCCCGCAGCCCCGGCGCCGCTGGCTGAGCACAGCCCTGCCCAGCCCTATTCCAGCACCACCAAAAATCCCACAGCCCATTCCTCTCCCTCTTCCCACTCTGCCCAGGACAGCACCCGGATTTATTGCTCCTCACTCACAAGAGGCACAGATCCTCCATAACTCCTCCCTGGAGATCCCATCCTTCCTACACACACAGCACTGATGATAAACCCGGTGATAAATTCTCTTTATTTTTCTGAGTTGGAAGGAAGGATGGTGGAAGAAAGTGACTCCACAAATGGCTCAAAAGCCAAATCCACTCTAGCAAACCATCCATCCCGCTACTGAGCCTTTAAACACAACTTGGCTTCAGCACAAGCCAGTATTTAAAAAGGTCTCGWGCATGTTTATCATTTATTAGAAGTGCTTCAAGGATGCCCAAAAAGCTTTATGCCTTCCATGAAGAAATATTCATCTGTTTAGCTGTGGATAGATGGAGCAGCAGAAAGGATGCAAGAAAACTCACAACATGTGAAAAAAAAAAGTGTAAAAGAGTCCAAATATTTCTCTTTCCACCCCGTTTCAGTCACTAAAGCGAAACATCAACACGCGAATTTCTACAACCAAACTTTTGGACCACATCAAAGGACTTTCCTTTTTCTGTTAATAAGGCTGATAAAGAAACAAACATCAACAGTCTGAACCACTTGAAAGTATTTACAGTGTCAGTTTTGTGTTCCTCACTTTGGAAGGAAATTAGAGCTCAAAAGGAAAYGTTGACTTCATTTAAGACCAAACATGTCAGAGGCACCACCAGCTTGCAAGGGGAAGAGGAAGCAACATCCACATTAATTTTTCATCTTACACCACTTCAACATGAGTAAGAAATTATTAATACCCTGCTCGAAAGCAGGAATTGTTTYATCAATGCCAAGAAGGTATGTTCTCTCTGAAGCAATTCTGAAAGTCACCCTCTCAGCAGAGGGCAACGGTTGGTATTTTTGGCAAGGGATTGATTTAGAAGGGAATATGGAAATGGTTACCAATTGGTTTTTTAAAAAGTAAAACATCAGCAGTGACACTACAAAATAAGTTAGGTTGTTTCTGTTCCAACAGCTCAGGTGTGCAGATGGTGCTGTGGATTCCAAAAAGGGTAAGAAACTCACAGGATTTAGGTTGGAAAAGAGCTCTAAGACCATCGAGTCCAACATGATCCCAATGCCCACCGTGTCCCAGCCCAGAGCACTCAGTGCCACCTCCAGGAATTCGTCAGACACCTCCAGGGATGGGCACTCCAAACCTCCCTGGGCACCCCTGCCAAGATCTGCTTGAAAAGGTGATGGATCAAAGGCTGGAGGTCTTTTCCAATCTCAATGATYCYTTTTAACCACTCAAAGCAAMCCCAAACCAGWGACCCACAAGCTGTCCCTGCCCCATCTGTAGGATTTAGCAGCATATCCTGTTTTCCCTTTCCCTACCCTGGGATCCTCGAGGCAGCAGCTGCTGCCTGCCCCACTGAACTGGCAAACTACAAAGTTTTATTTTTTTAAAGRAAAATTTTGCAGACTGCTTCACAACCTGAATTGTAAATTTATTTCCCTTCCCCGCGCTTCCCATCAAAGCGACGAATCTGTAGGGTTATCTCTGCTCCTTCTGAGTGAGTTTATGCAGATAAACCCAGATATTTAAATCAGTTTCTTAACAGAATGTCAAAAAATGTCTGTGTGGAAGTTCTTCTGAACAGCTGCTGTGTTTGTTGTGTCGCTGTCACTGTGGATGTCACAGCCCTGGCACCTCTTCCGAAGGGGACCAGATGAGCAGGAGCAGCTGCTACCACAAGGTTCTGATRTGAAAAGCCAATATCCAGCYACACCATCCATAATTYCTAATTGATACATCCCYRAATTACAGCCCTCCATAATCAAATYGGGAATATTTCCAGCCTCCAAGGGTTTTCTGTCAAATCAGACACCGCAAAGCTGAGCCGTAGGATGGCTCAGAGCTCTGGAGAAGGGCAGCATCTCTGTTTCAGGTGAGACCTGGATCTTCCTCCTCCCCCATTTCTGACCTGCCAGGTAACCCAGTATGAGATCCCACAGGATCTGCACCCCTGGAACAGCCCTGAARCAGCTGAGCTCAAATCCTGAGCATTTGGGGACACATCTCTGCTGTCATCAGCCTTACGTGAGCCTTCCCTCCCACCCCATTCCTTCAAACATCTTTCACCTATTCCTAAATAWAAAGTCAGGACGAAAATTTGGCTCTTCAATCCCTGCAAGTGCTCCACAGTGAATTTCTCCCTTCCCCTTGGAAACACAAGCATATGTTGCTTGCAGCATTAGCCTTTTCCAGCTTTTGTAAAAGGCGGGGGAGATCGGCCCAGTCTGGTGGTGGAAAAGTTTCCAGGCACACAGAACCCACCCAGGGCATGAAAAACCTGGAGATGMTCCACTTCAGGATCTCCATGGATTCATCAGCAGCTGCATCCTGGAGTTAGAAGAACAGAACCTGGCTGGTGCTTCCAAATCCTGCAGATTTGTAGGAATAGGACACACAAGCAGAAAGTCCTGGGGAAGGACACTCCATCAATGGAACAGGAGTTAAGAGCAGATACAGGTAAATATTCAAAAATCAAAATGTTGAAATGCTGTATGAGGAGAATCTGATAATGRTGTATTTTCCCCTTTGTTTTGATTCAGAAAATATCCAAGAGATGAAGACAACTGAAGTGGTGAGAGATGAAAAGGATTTGGAGCACCCCGTGAGAAAAGGAGCAGGAATGCCCCAGGGAAGGATAAAAGATCATCACAAGAATCTCTCATAGTGGGAATGCCCCGTTCAGAAGATGCTGTCAGCAGGAAAGGTGGGATTGTCCATGGGGAGAGGACAGAAAGGAGAAGCTGTCATGAAAACAACTCGGAGCCAGAGCTGCAGAGGCCAGGGAGGAGAACACACAGATCCTGGCTGGTTTGGAGCTGCAAACACTCCACGGGAGCAGGGATGTCCTCCCAGGGACACACAGCTGGAGAAACCTCAGGAACRACTGGAAACCAGCCAGGAGAAGCCAACAAAATGTTTTCCAAATTGAACCAATGATCAAAAACATTTTCTTTACCTTTCCAGCCTGTTGAGGATCAGCTGCTAACAAAGTATTTTTCTACAATAAATGAAATGCAAATGACAGTTTACTACCCATAAAGTTTCTTTTAGTAATAATCCCAAGGGCTCCCTGCCCCACAATCAGTGARCACTTCCCTACTTCATCAAATGAGCCCCATTTTAAATCCATTTTGCTCCAATTTCCTCATAAGCCACCTTGCAATTTGCTATCAGTATCACACAGTTCATCCCAAACATTTTCTCTGTGTCATTCTCCAGTACAATCCCAGCAGCAGCTGAATCACAACAGTGCTTGGAAGGGCCAGGACAAAGGAGAGGTGCAGAAAACCAGGGAAAACAGAGAGGGAGAAAGGGGAAATTCACTGCACTGAGCAGCAGACAATTTGAATTCCATTAACCAGCATTGGCTCCCACAATTTAAATTACACTAAATAGCACAGGCGTACCCATCAAYAGGAAAATAGCAGAATTTTATGTGTTTATCACTGATTTTCAGCAATTTTRTTCTTAAGGTGGTTACATTTTTCCTAGGAAAGACCAGGATTTTGGAAAGGAAGTGGTACTGGACAGTAGTAAAGACTTAC